TAAGCGAGCAGATAATTCTTACCCGATTAAGCTAATTGTCGACGGAACTTAAAGACGCTATACTGCTATTTTCGATTCTTACCGGAAATCCGGATATAAAAGAGCTAAATCAACTTATTATCGCACGTCAAAACTCTTCTTTTAAAACGGATGCTACGAAGATTGCAAAGCCTTCGTCTAGAACTGTAAGCCTTATTAAAAACGCAAAGCTAAACGAATAGAAAACCTTTTGTATTCGACTTAACTTACTTAAATATAGTCAAAAGTCAGCTTAAACGTATCACGAGTACTTATTACCGACAAAAAGATGACTTGCTTCGTACTAGCTAAAAAAAATCTATTTAAATAGCTAAAAGGACGACCATTTCGATCGGCTAACGCCGAATCTATTATTAAGTTTCTTTAAAAAGATATCGTTTGCCGCTACGGATTATTCGAAAAACTGATTATCGATAAGAGATTCGAAAACAAAGCAATTGCTAAAGCTTTCGCTATCAAGTACGGGATCAAAAGGGTCCAAATCTCGAGTTATAATTCAAAAGCAAATGGAATGATCGAGAAAGGATATAAAAACATCTTAGATAGCTTATCGAAAGTCATAAATAAAAGATTTAAAGATTAAGTTCGCAAATTCAATAAGATGCTCTTTACGGTCCGGACATCGATATACGTACTTATTAAAGTTACCTTTTTCTTCTTGAATTACGGACGAGAAGCTAAGCTACTTTTAAAATCACGATGGCTAGTCTAAAAGTTATTACTATAGCAAGAGGTTCGATCCCGCGCTAATTTGCTTGCTATAAAGTTTAAATAATTAAAACTCTAGAACGAAAATATCGACGAGATTATCTTAAAAAAGAAACGCTATCGACTTGCCGTTAAAGCCACTTAAAAACGAATCAAGGTCTTAAAGTCGGAACTTATTAAAGAAAAAGACTTAGTACTACTTTACGACGTTAAACGCAGCATCGACATATCCGCGGATATTAAACTAGACTACAAGTAGCTAAGACTTTATATCGTCTTTAAGGCTTACGATAAAGGATATTACAAACTTTAGAAAACCGATAAGACTAAGCTCAAAAGCACTTTTGCAGCTAACCGCCTTAAACGATTCTACCGCCGCGATTAAACTTTCTTTCCTTTTGATAAGGACGACGAAGAAAAAGAAAAAGAAGATTCGGACTTTTTAAATAATTCGGACCTTAGCGAATACGAGCCTTCCGACGACGATAAAAGTAAACCACTTAACTTAAAAGTGATCCCGAGACTTAAGTCTATTAACTTTTAAATCATTCTTCTAACACTTTCAAAAGAACAAAAATTAGCTTACAAAACTATTTCTTAATCTATTCTTTTACTTTGTTTTTCTTACTTTCCTATCTTCTTTTTGTTCTATACTTATTTTATAAAAAGACGTGCTTTTAATAATCACTCTTTTTGTTTTAGTAAAGAAGGGTATTTCTTACGTTTATTCCTTCACTTTTAAACCTGCTTTTCATTATATTCTTTGTTCTTTCCTTATTCCTTTCACCTTACTAGCTATTCACTTGTCTTATACAGATTGTTCTTATTGTTTAATTGTTTTTTCACTTGTTTTAAGCCTACCCGGCTATTTCTTATTTCTTATTTAAAACTGTTCCTTTGTTTTAAGCGTGCTTAACCACGTGTATTCGAAAGTGAACTGCTGTTAGAAAGAGTGGGTCCTTTTCACAAATGTACTTATATAAGAAAGCTCTCCCTTCTTTCTTCTTAATATTTTCTCTCTTTATACAATAACAATTACAACAACACTATTATCACCTTTTCTTTATAACTACATAATACTATACTAATACTAACGACTTTAATCATCACTTAATTAATCATTATTATTATCAGCTTTATTCCGCTATCTTATGTTTAGCTCGTAAACCGTAGTTTACGAGTTAAATATGCTTCTTAAGTCAGCCGCCGCTAAAGGAAAAGCTCTTGTCCGTGATGCACTTTCTAGCCCACTAATAAGCGAAGAGCAAGCCGCTTTAGCCCGACAATCGAGTTTCGAGCTGAAGTTCGAAGGACGAGTTATTAAGACTTTCGATAAGTTCTTTTAAACTTACCGTTAAATAAGCAACTCTAATCAATTAGCTATGCTTAAAGTAGCAACTTCCGACCTTAACAACAGATTAAGTAAAGAAGACGATTTGATTTTATAATACGACCAGTTCTTACGAGCCGAATGCGCAAGAAAGAACATAAACGCCGAAGACTTCTTTTCGGCTTACGACTAGTTTATTACCAAAGTCACCGCTATCCACTCTTTACGCAATAAGAACGCCGAAAGACACAAACGAATTAAAAGAGCCTTCGACGGCGCTCGAAGGCAATTGCTATATGACGACTACTTTAAAGCTATATATACCTTAGTCCGTAACGCTCGCTAACTGGGCGTCATTCTAGAGAACTGCACCTTTAACGCTTACGCTATCTAAGTCATCAACTACTATATTATTGCTTACGTCGCTTTCTAAAAGATTATAGCTAATATAGCTCGAGGACGCAAATTCATTAAGCTTAATACTACGGTAATCAACCTTACTTGCTAAACCGTAGAAGATAAAAACAATATCAAGTAGAAAGATAAAATCGTTATTCTTAACGAAAGACTTTTAAAAAAGCTAAGACTAAAAGTCTTATCATATAGCTTATTAATTTTAGCTCTCGACAACATTAAAAGCGAATACGACGAGCTTAAAGAACGTATAAAGTTTACCGACGAGAATCAAATTTAGAATTTCGTTTTATAAAAAGAACTCGAATCCGAAATTCTATTCGTAAACTATAATTCACGAGTAGAAGATGACTTAACAACCGAAGCGGGACTAAGTCAACCTTTTGCGCTTAAGACCTTTTTATTTAGATCACTTATTGCGCGCCTTTCGCTATTACTAGCCTTGTCTTAAAGATCGACGTCATCTTTTACTAATAAGCCTTCGAACGCTAAACTAATTGCTTCGATTATGTCTACTTTACGCAAGTCTATCGACGCGAGCTCTTTTTTAGCCTTTAGACTTAAAGTGCAACGCGACCCTCTTAAGAACTAGCTGCTACTAGCACTACCCGTTAAAAAAAAAGACAGCTTCGAATACGAACTAGCTAAGGCTATGTCGAACCGCTGCCTCGGACTTATCGAGATTAAAGACTTTATAAGTATAAACGTAGCTTTTATCAACTTTTGCTAAGACTTTTATCAATCAGCTTTCGACCGCTTAAACTTAAACGAGAATATCGATAATGCTTTTTAAGTTGCCGCGGAATCAATTAAAAAAGCTATCAGCTAGATCCGCAAGCTTTTAAAAAACGAATTTTCTAACAACGCGATCTTACGACTCTTCGACCGTCGTAGCTAAATAAAAGTAAATAAGAAAAGAAGCAAGGTAATAAACTACTTCTTGCTATCCGAGATCTTTAATTTAAGCTTTAACGACGACGATTGCGATTGCATAAAAGTCTTTTAAAAAGTGAAAAACGTATTAGAATTTAAAGATAAATTCAAAGAACTCTTTAACTTAAACGTCTAAACGAAGCTCCGCTTTAACCGCAAAGTCTTACCGTCCGCCACCGACTTATTAAAAAGAGTCTTTTGCGAAGTCTACACTTTCGAATACGCTAAATATCTTAAGCTAGTTACGAAGGGCTTTATAATAATAATAATCCGTTCCAACTTATATCGATTTATCGAAGCCTTTTAAACTAACGCTCTTAACAACTTTATGCTTTATTCGAGCAATTAATCGATGTTCGCTATTAAAACTAAAAGCAGTACTCTAGTTAAAAGAATGTTTAGCTTAAGCTTTTTTAAGTTCAAAGCTAAGCCGATGTCCTTTAACAAGCTGAACTAAAGCACTAGCCTAATAGGCACCGCTTAAAAGAACAGCCCTCTTAACACTATAAATGCGAATAATTATACGAAAGTTTAGCTTATATTAAGAGCTTCCTTCTTAGACGATAAGCACGGCAACTAGACCTTCTTTATTATTATAAACAAAAAGATCTAGATATACTTTTACCACTTTCGGACTAATAACTTAAGAAGAGCTCCGACTAGTGCACTTTTTAATATAATGCACTCTTTAATCTAATAAGTCTTCCGAAGCTATTATAAGCTATACCTTGCTGCTTTGCTTAATCGCCGAAACGAAAACTATAAGCTTATCGCTTACTCGGAACCCCTTTAGTTCTTTAGATGCAATAATAATGCTCGAATGATTGCGACTAAACACGACGCTAATACTAAACGACTTGTAAACCGTGATTCACGAATAAAAGACAGAGTTTTAAACTACTACTTGATGCTTTACGGCGTAAAGAATCAGATCGGAAGCTTAGCTATTTAGCTTAAGAGCCACACTTACGATACTACCCTTAAAAAGACCGCTAGATAAGAAGCTTTTAAACTTAAGTCGAAGACCTTGAATGCTTTTAAGAATATTACGCTTCGCTAACCTCTCGCTATAGTTAGTGATCTCGCTACTTTTATATCCGTCATTACGAAACAAAGTGTTTTCTTGAATATAAACGCTTTTTAAGATTCCTTTTGCGAATAAGCTATCTTCTTTAATAACTATACCGCTTTGCTGAACGATAGCACCTTAGAAAATAAAGTCAGCTTTACAAAGCACGCTTGCACTATCGTCTTAAAACGCATGCCGCTAACTTTTCGGTAAAGAATCATTAATAAATCAAGCCAGCCTTTCGCCGCTACAATCTAGCTAAACTACGTCAGTTTCGTATCAAAAGCCTTAATCGGAAGAATAAACTAGAACGAACTTCGAATAGTAGAAGAATTGACCGCTATCTTTACTATGTCTCGGACCTAGTTTTAAGAACACTTTATTAAGCATAAGAAGAAGTTGTTTTCGGCATTCAGAAAAGGATTTGCTATCGTTTTAAATACTAAAGCCAAGACTTACGAAGCCAAGTCTTTTTCTAAAAGCAAGAGCCGCTGAGCTGACGACCTTATGAACGCCGATAAGTTGAAGGATTTTAAAAAGAGCTTGCGACCGATTAAGTTGTCTTTTAACGACTCCGATTCAAGTGTAAAGATCGCTTTAAAAAGTGCGAAATCCACTCGTGAACCACGGTTCACGGGCCAAATCGGCAACTTTAAAGGATCTTCTTTTCAGCCGGAATCTTTAGACCGCGCATTCGATAAAGCTATAAAAGCCTTAAATGACTTGCCCGAAGACGAGGACGATTTAACTAATAGCTCCGGACCTTATTTTAGCTTCGCTAACTTTCCGTCGGCTAAGTTTACACTTATCAACGATGCTATTAACAAGCGCAAGAACGACACGCGCTCCTTTACCCTTAAGGATGCTGCTGCTAGCACGTTATCGTCCAATGCTAGCCTTGCTAAAAGGAGAAGACCTTCTTAGCCTGAAGAGAACGAAAGAGTTGAAGACGTAAGCACGGAAAGAGACTATAAAGAAGCTGTTAAAGCGTAGTTTAGATGTTTAAATGTTTGGAGTTTAAAGACAAAATACCCTTTCTTTTTTGTATATTAGATTTTTCTTTTTTCTACACCCCCCTTTTTTCTTCTTTGCTTAATGGTAAGCGAAGGCGCTTACTTATTCTATAAAGGGACGGATGTAAACACCCTGCTTAATAGGGTACCTGCTATAGCTACTAAGGCCACACTAGACGGACCTATCTTTTATAAAAGGACACACATCTCTTAGCTAAAACAATTAACGAGCTTTCCACTTACTTTTTTTAACACTTCTTTTGTAAGACCATGAGGTCTAGCCTCAGAGCCAGGCTTCTGTACAGTACATCTTTTTGGGTGCTTCTACAATATCTAACTCGTAAACTACGGTTCACGAGTCAGATATTAAATAACGGAATAAAGCTGATAATAATAATAATTAATTGAATAATAATTAAAGTCGTTAGTGTTAGTATAATATTATATAGTTGTAAAGAAAGGAGAGAAGGTAATAGTATTATTATAATTATTATTATATAAAAAAAGAAAATATTAAGAAAAAGAAGAAAAGAGCTTTCTTATATTATAGAGGGAAAGAGCTCCGATATATACTTAACGTCAAATCAAAAGATATATATGAATATAGCTATAGTAAAATCGTAAGTAAATAAAAGAAAAGAAGAAAGACGATCGAAAGACACTCGAATGTGTGCTGTAAGTACGTGTATTGTATTGTATAATGATGTAGTGCTAGTTTAAAAAAGAACTAACTACTCGTTTATATAAAAGCTTGCACGTAACTTAACTACGTGACTTAACTACGTGCTTAGTAAAGCTAAAGCATATAGCGCACTTACGTAATAAAAGTGCTTAACATTAGTATTATATACATAAACAAAATAAATATAAAGCCGTAATTTTATTATATACGTCTTTCTTTCGAATTAGACTCGCTTTCGAATCATCTTTTATTAAAATAATAAAGTTGTATTTGCAAGACGAGCATATAACCGAATTGCATAATCGTAATATAGTCTTAAAGTACTACTTAAAAATGCATCGCCGGATCGGTGTTAGTACGAGAGCGTACGTAATATAATAAAAAAGATAAGAATAGCAACGAAAATGCAAGATAATTTTTCGAGTCTAACTTTTTTTTAATCTTTTATAACACTTTTATTCAATTATAAGAATAATATTAACTCGAGCGTTAGTATTATTATTAAAACAAGCGTGCGCCGGTTTAAACGGTTAAGTAGTAACGCACTGCCGAATCAATAATAACGCAAAGCTTAAAGCGGTAACGTAATAAAGAAAACAAAAGCGGTAGTATATATTCGAAGTTTTATTATAAATAGTACTTTTTTTTATATTAACTTTATACTTTTTTATTTTCTTTTTAATATTACTATTTATTAACTTTATCTTTTATTATTATATTTTCGATTTGCTTTCGATGCGTAAGCTACGCAAGCAAAACTATCGATAATGCTACGAGTCGATGCATCTTCTTTTTCGATAAATCTATTAAATGCAAGCGTTATCGTATTATCAAGTTAATTTGCATTTTTATAAGTTATTTTACTTTTCGTTTTACACTCGTTTTGACTTCGATTCGATAGCTTTTCGTAAAAGTCGTTAGCGCTAGTATAGTTTTAATAAATGCGATAACAGTTATAAACAATAGAATTAAGACGGCCGATAACGTTTTTCGTAAAAGCATAATTATAAATAACTTTTTTATAAAGACCCGCCGTGCTTTTGCTTTTTAAATTAATAATGCTTTTTTTTTTTTCGAGCTCGTATCGCTGCTACTTCTTTTGCCGCCGCTAATATTAAAAGTCTTTTAGCTAGCTTAAGTCTTGTTCCGGCGTTACGCTTACTTGCCGCCGCTATTACCGCCGATCTAGCTTCGTTAAACTTATTACGTTAAATCTTAATTGTAATAAATCGAAACAATACTTTATTAAATAACTTTTTTAATCGCGTAAGTGTATATTGCGAACTTTTTGTGATTCTTTTTCGATTTAATTATAATAGATTGCTAAAAAGTCTTTGTCTTTTTTATCTTTATTTTCGGAATCGTTAGCACTTCTTATTGCGAAGAAGCTCCGCCGAAGTGCTCGTTAAGCTTTTAATCGCGGCAATACCGGTAGTTCTTCGAAAGGTTTGAATTATAACAATATCGGTAAGACTTCGAAAAGTAAAAGCAATGCTTAAGGTATTGCGAAAAGCTTTCGTATTATTCTACTTAGCTTTAAGTTATAAAGTCGGAAAGGTTTTTTATCGCGTATTAATAGCTTATTAAATAATTAATGCAATAGATTTTTCGTATGTTCTTTTTAATTAGCCTTCGAGTAAGGTCCGCTTTATATATGTGATATGCTTGTATATAATAGATCGAAAGCATATAAGTATAATAACGTAAAGCTTTTTAATATAAAAAAAGAAATAAAAAAAGTATAAAAAGAAAAAAATAAAGAAAATCAAACTTAAATAAAGAAAAAATCAAAAATCAAATCTAAACTCGTTTTTCTTTTACGGATAGTTATGCTTTTATAACTTAATCACTCTTTATTGCTTTTTTATTATTGCTTATAAAGACTTTTGCGTATTAGCTCCGTTGCTTTTTCGTAAAGCTAAGTAATCGAATGATAAATCTATTTAAGCGCTTGATTTAAAAGCCGGACTCGGCTATTTCATTTAATAAAAGCTGTTTTAAAGATCTTTTTATTTAAAGCTTAAAGCGAAGTAATGACGCTTCAAAGGTATATCGTACGTAAAACTTTTTTAATCGATTGCTAGCAAATGTTTTATTTAGCAAAGCTTTGTTTTCTTTTAGCTTTTTTAACTTATAATATCTTTTTATATTTATCGACGAAATTTAATAAAAGCTAAGCTATCGAAAATCTAGCTTCTTAACGTTAAATATATTTACTTTACGTACCGAGTCGTGCTTAAAAACTAAGTCGCTTACTTTTAAAAGTTTAATTCGAAAATTCTTTTTATTATTAAAAGCATCTTTTCTTTTTTAGCGGCAGCGGGTTTTCTTAAGTATAGCTTTCGTAGCATCTTCGTCTCGCATCCGGAACTAGCGTGCTTTTAATTCGATAAGCTTAATACGATTAGTTATTAGCTTTTAAAATAACGTAGCTTAAAATTAAATTCGAGTCTTAATTAAAAGCATTGCTTTTTTGTTATATATTATATAAAAAAAAGTGAATCCGATAAAAGTATATATCGAAGTGCGGTCGGCGAATAAAACGGCTAGCAATTGCGCAATTTAATCGGTGCTTTTAAGCTTATTTAATACGTCTTTAATTAATCCGTAGCCGCGTTTTATTATTTTATTCGCTTAAAAGTAGTATGCTAAGACTACGACTCGATTGATTTTTTAATTATTAAGTAAGTCGATTACTTTTTTTTTAAACTCCGAACTTCCGTCGATTATTAATTAAAAGAAAATTTTATAGCGGTAGATAATATCTTTTTAAATAAACTTAATTATCGAGAGCGAGTTTTAAGTCCGAATCGCTTTCGCTTCGATTTATTTATTTATATTATCTTTAATAATAATTAAATAGCTTTTGCTATTGTATGCAAGTAAATAAGTGATATTAATAGCTTAACGTTTTATTAAGCTATTAGATCGAATAAGATATAATAATTCTTCGAGCTTATTAGCTGCTCGATATTAATATTCTTTATAAGTCTTAACGAATCGTTTAACGTTTGTATAACATTTATTTTAAAAGTAACGTTAAGAAATACGATAGTAAGTCGATTTACGGCTTTTATAATTATTCTTATCGTAATAAGCTATAATAATATCTGTTTTAATCGAAAGCTTATCGATTATTAATCGAAAAAGAAAACTTTTCGTCGAAAGTTTTTAAAGTTTATTATCGTTTACTTCGTATTTAATAGCTTTTCTTTTAAACTTATAGCATTTTATCTTATTTAAGTCTTTAAGTTTTCGTAAAGTCGTTAAGAAAGTAGTTATTCGAATTAATTTCGAAAAGTATTCGATTAAGTTTAAAAGACTTTCGTAATCGTAATCGTCGTTAAACTCGTTTAAGTTTATATTCTTTGTTTTTTTCGAACGTTAAAATATATTTTTAAAAATAAATTAGCGAATATTTATTAAAAAGTCCGTCGAAAGTTTTTCGAAGCCGTCTCGAGCTTTAATAAGTCTTAAGTCGGTTAGCAAGCTATTATCGAACTCATTTTTATTTTTTTCGCTTAAATTATTAAAGTGTTATAATCGTTTCGATAATACATTAACAACGGTGTGATTTTTATCGAAGATATATCGGATTTTAAAATCAAAAAAATTAATTTAAGCTAGCTAGCGTATAATTAAAGCCGAAAGTATATCGATAGCTTTTCGTCGAAGCTAAGTAACGAGCACTTTAACGTTAGTTTCGAAAATAAAATGCATTTTAATAATTTATAATTTAAGTTTTTTAAAGACTTTAAATACTTTGCGGCATTTTCGTTTAATAACGTCGTAGTTCCGTTCTGCTTCCGTTTAAGCTTCGGATTCGTATTAAGCCGATTACACTTTATTAAAAGTAATCTCGCGTTAGTCGATATATTTTTTTTATTTTTTTAAGCTAGCGTCCGTTTTTATTATTATCTTTTTATTTTAGTTTTCGTAATCGATTTTAATTAGAATCGGAGCTATCGTTAAAGCGTTTTATAGCATTCGCATAGCTTTCGAATACGCTTCGGTCTATTGTTAATTTATGTTTTTTTTTATAAGGTTATAAAAAAAGTTAGCAATGTATACGAATCTTTTAATTTAAATACGGAAATAAAAGCAAAAGTTTAAAAATCTTTTAATTTTAATAACGTTTTCGAAAGTTTTTTAATTATTAATTTTAATAATCTTATCCGTAGCGAGTTCTCGACTTTTCGAATTGCATACGAATCTTATTATATTTATTT